GGGGGGGGGGGGGGGGGGGGGGGGGGGGGGGGGGGGGGGGGGGGCACCAAGGGGAGGAGTCAGGGCAACAAGCTGATGCTCACCTGGGGTCAGAGGGTGACAGTCGACCCATCTCCAAGCTCCCCAGTGTTGCTACGGTTCCCAAGCTGTTAGTGGTCCAGCGCCCAGCGCCACATTCTCCCCGTTGGGAGGGAGCCCACTGGGGCGGGCCTGGGCCGTGCTGCTCAGCACCCCATGGAGTGGTGCAGCATGAGCTGGGGCGGTGGGGCCTTTGCCAGCTTGCACTGTCAGTGGGGGAGCTGAGTCCCTGGGAGGGGCTGGGGAAAGGAGCGCTATTAAACCAGTCATGGCCTCCCTTTCCCATCAACAGCGCTTCTGGGCCTGGAGTTATCCACTGTACAGCTGGCCCAAATGCCTAGCTATGAGCCCTGTCCTGGGGCGGGGGGAGATGCTTTTCCTCTCTCCACCCATTTGTCCCCACAAGGCATGAGACTCCTGCCCTGCCTGGGGGGGGGGAGGGGAGAAGGCCTGTGGGACGGGCAAGAGCCAGACCCTCCCCACGGCAGCTCACCCTTGCTGAAGTGGAAGTAGATCTCCTCGCTGCCCTGGGGCTTGCGCAGGGACAGGGGGGTCTCCGTCTCAGCCAGGGGCACCCCTGGGAAGTGGTACTCCACGTACAGCTGCTGGATGTGCTCACTGGCCATGGCCTCAGCCTCAGGGTGCAGACTCAGAGAGACGATCTCAATGTGGATCCGCTCCATGTCCTGACAGGATGAGGTGAGAGCAGGTCATACAGGGCCTGAGAGGGCGGGAAGCAGTGCCCCAAACTCTTGTGGGGGGGCGCGGGAGGGGAGGCTGGCCAAGCCAAGCTCCCATCTCCCCCCACTCACCCCACTTTGGAACCCAGCAGGGCTCAGCAATGTCACTACAAGCTGTAGCTGCCCGATTCTCCTGTACCTGGCAGGGCTTTTCCTCCCCTCCCCCATGGGTCTGTGCACCCTCTCCTCCAGCACTGCCTCAGGGTGGGGGCATTACCACCTTTGGAGGGCTCCCCAGGCTGGTCCCCACCACAATCTCGTCACTGTCTGTGGTCTGTGCATCGCTGCTGCTCTCCAGCGCTGGCTCACCGGCCTCCTCGGGGGCTGGCAGGAACAGAGTACTTGTTACTGGGAGGGGAATTATAATGGGACCTGCCCGCCCCCTGCCCTCCCACCCGGACCATGGGCCATGAAGAGTATGGCTGCAGCCTGCTTTGGGGCTGTTTGCAGTGAGAGCTGTCAGGGCTGCACCTATGCCCATCTCTAAGTTTGTTCACACAGGGACCCTGCTCTGCAGCTGGATGGCCATGTCGCCCTCCCCCACCACAGTGAGCCCCAATCCACAGCTGGATGGCTGGATGCCCCTGTCTATGGCTCTACATTGTGCCACCTCGGGATGGGTGAGTGTGACCTTTAGAGTCAGATCTGGCACAGCATGAGGGGCTGAGCAGGGCCCTAGGGTAGCCTGGCCAGTTGGCACTGACAGCTGGGTGCCCCATGGGAGGCAGGAGCTGGTACCCATGTCCTCAGGAGCGGAGCCTATGTCCAGTGCAAGAGATTTGGGCTCCAAGCGCTGGGTCCTGGCAGAGGTTTCAGCGTCCTTAGCTGAGTGTTCTGCTTCCTCCTCGCCAGCCTGGGCCTCCTTCCCCTCCAGTGTCCCCTGCATAGACAAACCCCATCAGGCTCAGGGAACAGCTCACTGCCTGGGGAGCTCTGGCCCAGCCCCATTATTACTGCCCCCTGTTGGATGCTGGTTCAGTGTGGGGCACTAGGCAGCCTGCGGGCCAAATCCAGACTGCCAGACGCTCATGAACAGACCATTGTATCTTTTTATGTACTTATTGCTATTGTTATTGTGATGTGAAAACTGTTTCTCTGGAGTCCGGATCTTAACTGTACTTGCCCAAGAAATTTGGACCCTGACAAAAAATAACTGACTACCCAGGGTGCGGGGTGGGCGTTGGGCAGGGGACTTGGGTTGCTGTACCCTCACTGCCTGCTTCCTGCTCCCTTCTCCCCAGCTCTCACCTCGGCAGAATCTCCCACCGGAGCCACCTCTTCTCCCTCCTCCAGGGTGTAGCCACTGGATGCTGGCACTGGATTAGGCTGAGTCTGACTACTGGCTCCCCCATTCCACTTTCCCCTGCATCCATCAGCCTTGACCGCCAAGATATGGAGCTTCTTCCTCTGGCCCTCAGGCTGCGATGGTGAGATGCTGGGAGCAAGCCGGGCCTGAGCAGGGGTCAGAACAGCACAGTCACGCCAAAGCCTGGCAGCTTCCCCCCATTCCCACTAACCTGCTCCTTTTTCTACTGGGGTGCAGGAGTGGCAGCAGCACCCCGCATGGCAAAGAGAGAGCGGGGGCTAGAAGCCAGGAGTTCTGACTCCCAGCCCTCACTCACTAAACCCCTCACCAGGAAGGTGATATTGTATGGGGCAGGTGTGAATTCTGGGCTGCTGGGTCATTCTGTACCTGGTTGTGTAGTGCAGCCCTTTCTTCCTCAATCAGCTGCTCCAAGGGTCTCTCATGCTGGTGTTTCCTGGCCCAGGCCGCTTGGTGCAGGGCGGCCCCCGGGGGCAGGTACTGACGCTTCCACTCCAGGCTGAGGCTGATGGAGCCATTGGGGTGCCCAGCCGGGTCGGTGAGGACAAAATCTCCTGCAGAGTAGAGAAATGGAGGCGTAACGGGGCACAGGGGGTGGGGCTCTGGGCACAAGGCACTGAGGCCAGGAGCAGGGGCACTGCCCAGCTATGTGCCTCATGAGCAATAGAGGATCTGGGTCCAGCAGCTTTCACCTGTGATACAGTGCCCGCGTGCCAGAGGTAGCAGGGGGATCTGTGCTTTGCCCAAGTAACTGCCTGGCTCTGTATCCTCATCATCAAAGATGTACACCCAGAGGCTCTCTAGACGCAGATAGCGGTCGAGTTCAGCTGTGGGGTGCATGGGGAAAGTCCGCAGGTCTCCAAAGTGTGGGTTGTTGCTGGAGGGGATGATGGGCGTGTCGTGGTCAGGGAAGGTGAAGAAGCGGTACATGGCATAGGGGCTGGGCTGGGTGCTGAGCCAGCGACCCCGCAGGCCCGTGCAGCCTACAATCTGCACTTGCAGCTCATTCCACAGCCACTCAGCATCCAGGACCTAGAGGGGGAGACTGAACTGGGTGAGCAGAGGGCCTAGAGTGCATCCCATAGAAATCACGGCTTTGCCACATGGAAGGCTGTGACACAGTAGGGAGCGGGGCAAACTGACCTGGGAATGTTGTCTAGTTTTACTGGGACTGTCTGCATGGGGGATGGAATAGCAGGGGGTGACTTTACTTGAGTAACAATACCTGAGTCGGGAGAGGGATGGGGCCAGGTAACACCTTCTGTCTGGGAAACTGGAGGAAGAGCTGGGGGAAGGCTGGGTGAGATGGCTGGAGGGGGTTTCAGTTTGGAGCGGTTGGGGGAAATGGAGGGAACCCCAAGGCTGGGGTCTAAGCTCCCTCCCCCCTGAGGGACCTGACTGAGGGGTCCTGGTTGTACCTACAAGCTCTGTTTGGGACTGTGTTCCTGTCGTCTAATAAACCCTCCGTTTTACTGGCTGGCTGAAAGTCACAGTAAATCGCAGGAAGTGAGTGCAGGGCCCGAACTCCCCCACACTCTATGACAAAGGCACTTTAGTGTCCAGAGTGCCTGAGGCTTCCCTTACAGGGATCCTGCTCTGACATGTGCCAGAGAGCTCTAGTGTGGAGCACATATCCCTATGAGGCCCTGTGGTTGTGTGCCACCATGGGGAGCCCCTTTTGTGGGGGCATATGTCCATACAGGGATCCTGTACCAGTGGACATGGGCCTATAAGACTCCCCCTTTCTGGGATGCATTTCCTTCAGTGTGTGTGTGTATTTACCCTCACATACTCCTCCCCCATGCACGCCCCTGCTTCCTCACCCCCTCCTTGTCCTGCTGCCTGCTCTGCTGGGCAGCTCTGGCCTGGGGCATGCAGGCTAACAAGTAGCCCAAGGCCTTGGTGCGCTCGCAGTGCAGCCGTATGGTCTGCTCCATGGGCAGGCACAGCCTCATCCAATACTCCAGCATCCCGTAGTTCTCGCCGCTCGGACCTAGAGGGTGTGGAGTGGGCGGGGGGGGCATGCGGGGGGGGACACACAGGCCGGGGGATAGGGATTGGGGGAGCGAGAAGGAATTAGGGCAGTAGGTAACAGGACATGAAGGCCACAGGGACATAAGAATGGTTAGAAACCTGGCATATTCCCCAAGCTGACGCCAGAAGGGCTGGGGCAGGGCGAGCCTTGGCCCCAGGGAGGGAAGATGAGCGTATACGCTCCCATGGCTGGAGAGCCTTTACTGTGCATGCAGCTGAGCTGTGGCACTGACAAGGCCAGGCACCCTCACTGAGCAGCTGCCATGGCAGAGGGCACAGGGAGCTCTTTGCCGTAGAGCATCACTGTGGAGAGGGAAAGCTCTTACCATGTAGCATCGCTGTGGCGTGCATGCGCTCCCCGCTCCCCAGAACCTCCCGGAAGCGCAGCCAACAGGAAGCCAGAGTGCTGTGGTCAGTAGCCGTGGCCAGGTGCAGGTCTAGGCGGGCGGCAGCCCTCTGCAGGTACTGCAGGAAGAGGGGCTCAGCCTGTATCACATACTGAGACGTGAAGCTGTAGCGGGGCTGGGCCCCTCGCACCACCGGTGTGCAGTGTGTCTCGAAGTCATAGAAGGCATAGGTGCAGAAGGTGACGGGCTGGACTTCCCCCAGCAGCTGCAGTGCCTCCCCTGACAGCACTGCCCCTGCAATGTGCAGCTCAAACAGGTTCTCACCACGCCGCAGCACGGGGGCCTTGACCTCCTCCACGTCCACATCACCCTCAGTCCGCAGGAGTGGGAGCTGCCGTGTCCCATAGGCCACATCCTTCAGCTGCTCTGGGGGAGGAGATGGGGCCTGTGAGAGGTGGGCATGTCCCCATCTTCTCCCCCCTCTATCCCCAAGGCATAGCCTGTACAAGTCCCCCTCCCCTATCTGTTCCTGACAGGAGTGACCCACTGCCTGTCTGCTATCTTCCCCCCTCTTGCTACAAGCCCAACATAGCCATCTGCCAGCCCAAGTGCTGTACAGCAAGCCAGCTGCTCTTGAGGGGCCAGTTCCCGCTCTGAACAGTGCCATGGGCATGCAGGGACCTGGCACAGCCTCTTGGGGCAGGGAACGCGAGCACAGGTCCAGACAAAGGCCCATCCTGCCCAGCTCTGTTTCCAGCAGTGGTCATGAGTGAGGCAGGGGCAAGAATTGCTCCAGGGGCAGGTGAGGCTGGCTCTGCTCTTACCCTCCAGCTGGCGGATGCGGGTGCTGCGCAGATCCAGGAGCTGCGCCATTTTCTGCTGCTTTTCCTCATGTCCCCTCTTCTCCTGTTCAGCCTGCACCATCACACCGTCCAGCTCGGCCTGACAGCACACGAGGTCAGTTACACAGCAGCTCATCCCACAGTTCAGCCTGACATAGCACCCGGGTGGGGTCAGTCACCCCCTGCACCACCACCTCCCCCACCTGATAGTCTTGGTTGAGGCGATGCTGTAGGATCAGCATGTCCCGGGTTTTCTCCAGCTCCAAGATGGTGTCAGCATGGGCAGCTTCTGTCTCACGGAGTCTCCGGCTCAGGCTCTGCTGGGCGAACAGCTCCTCCTGCTCGGTCGGGAGCCTATCAAGGCAGGGGGGCTGTAGGGAGATGGGCTAGGAGTGAACAGAAAAGAGCCACCCCCACCCTGCTGAATGAGGTAGGAGCACCACAGTCCCCAAGGTTGCAACTCCCCCGCGCGTAGCACCAGCACTCGCCAGGACACGTGGTCCCAGCCCAGCCCCGCCCCCCCCTTGTCTTCCCAGCACAGGCCGCAGCACTTGTCATGATGGGGGCGGGGTCCGGCCCAGCCTCCCTAAACACTTAACTCCCCCTACATAGAATCATAGAATCTCAGGGTTGGAAGGAACCTCAGGAGGTCATCTAGTCCAACCCCCTGCTCAAAACAGGACCAATCCCTAACTAAATCATCCCAGCCAGGGCTTTGTCAGGCCGGGCCTTAAAAACCTCTAAGGAAGGAGATTCCACCACCTCCCTAGGGAACCCATTCCAGTGCTTCACCACCCTCCTAGTGAAATAGTGTTTCCTAATATCCAACCTAAACCTCCCACACTGAACTTGAGACCATTACTCCTTGTTCTGTCATCTGGTACCACTGAGAACAGTCTAGATCAGTGGTTCCCAAACTTTAACAATCTGTGAACCCCTTTCACTAAAATGTCAAGTCTCGTGAACCCACTCCTAAAAATGAATATTTCCAGGGATTTTCTCCTTTACCTGAGTATAAATTATAAAAGCAGTGATCTTGGAAATATAAAATTTGTTTTTATGACATGCTTATTACACACTTATTATTATTTAGCAATACAGTATTTTTATTACATTATTAAAACGGCAACACTCTTCCAAGATCTGACTTTTGTAGCTTGTATCACTTTGAATAAGCCTGTTATAAGACAAGGCTCCTATGTTTCATCAAGGAGTATCAGATGTGAAACAGCAGGAAGGCATTTAAGAAGCCAACTCAAAGAGTTCCTCCTACACAAGCATTCAGGTCTTGAGCAATCCAGGCAAACAACGCACGTTACAACAAAGCTTCAACTTGTTCTTCATAATTTTAAAAACAATACTAGCTGCCTATTTAATTTAAAAAACAGCAAAAAGTATCCATCTCCCTTTCCATTTCTTATAAGTCTTGAAGTTTATATCTTCTCAGTGTGATAGAGATGCTTGCTTTGATCTGCTTAGCTCTTGGAAGTCCAGGGCTCCGGGCTGCTGGCCCCGTGCTGCCCACTGTCCCTAGGGACAGCTCTGTCCGCCATTAGGGAATTTTTTCCTGAGAACCCCCTGTAACGGTTCATGAACCCCAGTTTGGGAACCACTGGTCTAGATCCATCCTCTTTGGAACCCCCTTTCAGTAGTTGAAAGCAGCTATCAGATCCCCCCTCATTCGTCTCTTCTGCAGACTAAACAATCCCAGTTCCCTCAGTCTCTCCTCATAAGTCATGTGCTCCAGCCCTCTAATCATTTTTGTTGCCCTTCGCTGGACTCTTTCCAATTTTTCCACATCCTTCTTGTGTGTGGGGCCCAAAACTGGACACAGTATTCCAGATGAGGCCTCACCAATGTCGAATAGAGGGGAATGATCATGTCCCTCGATCTGCTGGCAATGCCCCTACTTATACAGCCCAAAATGCCGTTAGCCTTCTTGGCAACAAGGGCACACTGTCAACTCATATCCAGCTTCTCGTCCACTGTAACCCCTAGGTCCTTTTCTGCAGAACTACTGCCTAGCCACTCGGGCCCTAGTCTGTAACAGTGCATGGGATTCTTCCGTCCTAAATGCAGGACTCTGCACTTGTCCTTGTTGAACCTCATTAGGTTTCTTTTGGCCCAATCCTCTAATTTGTCTAGGTCCCTCTGTATCCTATCCCTACACTCCAGCGTATCTACCACTCCTCCCAGTTTAGTGTCATCTGCAAACTTGCTGAGAGTGCAGTCCATCCCATCCTCCAGATCATTAATGAAGCTATTGAACAAAACCGGCCCCAGGACCGACCCTTGGGACACTCCGCTTGATACCGGCTGCCAACTAGACATGGAGCCATTGACCACTACCAGTTGAGCCCGATGACCTAGCCAGCTTTCTATCCACCTTATAGTCCATTCATCCAGCCCATACTTCTTTAACTTGCTGACAAGAATACTATAGGAGACCGTATCAAAAGCTTTGCATAGCACACAGCAGTCGCCATGAGAGGAAGGACCACTCCAGACCTGCTGACTCCCCCACATATGGCCTTGTGCTTGCCATGACAGATGGCTTCCCTGCACTTGCCATGACGGGTGAGACCAGCCCAGTCCCCCGACTCCTCTACACAGGGACCAGCCCCACCCCACCCCCAACACCCCCCGCACAGGCCCCAGCTCTATGCTCTTTACCTGCCAAATGCTGCTAGAGGATGGGGCACCTACTACACCCCACGAAGGGGCCTGGGGAGAATAGCCAACCCTGGCTCCTCCCTGGCTCGTATCCACCTGGGACAGGGTCGGATCAGGCTTCTGCTCTGGAGTTTGGTTCCCCCTCTCCACTTCCAGCTTCAGCTCCTCACTCCGAGCTGGGGACAAGACAGGAGTCAGGTCTGGTCACCAAACTGGTTGTGATACAGAGCAGGCCCTGGCCCCGTGTGACCGGGACACATTCTGCCCCCCACCACACGTGTTGCACACCAAGGATCCACCCCCTCCCTCAGGTGTCACATGGCCAGACCACATGCACCCCTCCCCCCCGACTGCAGTGCACGTGTGATGCCCCCACCCCAGTGAGAGGGATTAGTCAATGGTGACACAAGAACTCCCCATTGGGATGAAGCTCTCATTTCAGTCCCGTGTCCCTGTGCTGGTACTAAGATTCCTTCCCCCCTCCCCCCACTGTCCTGCCAGCCCCCTCACCTCTCTCCTGCGCCAGCTCCTCCATCAGCCCCCTCTTCTCTGCCAGCTCCAAGCTCAGCTGCTCCTCCAGCCGTGAGATGTTCCCATGCTGCTGCTCACAGGCCAGACTGCTGCAGCAAGAGGGGCAATGCTACAGTGTTACCCCAAGGGCCACAAACCCCAACCCTCCATGAGGGGCTCCAGCACACATGGTGCCCTGAGCCCTCAGGGCCCTGGGAGCTGCTTCTGCATGGCTGGGGCAATTCTTTGCCAGGCCCCACCCAGGCATGGCAGATTGAGGGGGTGTCCCTATGGCTCTGCCAGGCCCCCGCACACACACTGTACAACAGACTTGGAGAGGGCTTCCTAAGGCTCTCCCCCAAAACCCCCATCCTCCAGGGTCAGCCCTTTGGGATCAGTCTCCTGTCTCTGGCAGACTCTGGGGCTGCTCCAGACCTTTGCCTATCTCCTGCAGGCCAGAGCTCCCAGCCCCAGCAGTCCGACCCTGAATGGAGCCCAGAGAGGGGGCTGAGCAGGCATCAGACAGGTCTGGTGTGACTGGACCCCAGGCTGTGGCATCTCTGGGGATCAATGGAGGCTGAGACTGCTCACTTGACCTTGGGCACCATGGCATAGTCCCACTGCATGGTGCGGGGCTCGGCCACATTCAGTCTCACCTCTCCAGCAATTTATCATAATCCTCCTTCAACAGGTCTCGCTCCTTCTCCAGGGACCTGATTCTCTCCTGAAACTGAGAGAGACAGAGATCAGCTCCCAGACCTGGCTCCCCCAGCCAATGGGGGGTGGGCCTGTCAGGCTCTTTCTCTAGGGTTAGAAAGGGACCCCCCTACTGACTTCAGGGAAGCTGGCCTCAGAGTAGGGAAAAAGGGGTCCCCAGGGCTTGGGGCTCCCTACCTCCTCCAGCGCCCCCTGCAGGAATGAGACGCTCTCCACTTTGCTCTCCAACGCCAACACCTTCTGCGTCTCCGCCTTCAGCTGCACAGTGAGCTCCTCCACCTGGGCCAGGAGGGCCTCACTGCTGGTTCGCAACGTCTCCTGGTTCTGGTGAGGGAGGGGAAGGAAGAAAGACCAGCACAGGCAGGAGAAAGGGACGCCGGCCCCTCCCTGCTGCAGGGCCGCCAGGATGGAGGGACCCGGAACCGAGTGTGAGAACCCAGGGACAAGGGGGTGGAGGCTGGATACAGAGAGACTCTCTTTGCCCCAGCCCCCCCATCTGGAGTGCAGTGCCCTCAGGACAGGTCCCAGCGGGGGGAGGGGAGCTCTTGTCCCATCAGTGAAAAGGGGCGCGCCCTTCCTGGGGCTGGGGGGCAGGTCCCATCAGGGTTGTGTGGGCAGGGGAGCTCCCGCCTGCTGGGGAGTGGGTCCCAGTAGGGTGCTGGGGGGGAGCTCTTGTCACATCAGCACAGAGACTCTCCCCTTCTGGGGTGGGAGGGGTCCCATCATACATCAGTATTTACCTGCTGGAGCTGGCTCTCATACGCCTGGGAAGAGAAATCACAGAGCTGCCATCAGTGCTGCTATGTGGAGCCTATTATTTGCTGAGCGCTGACTTGGGAGGGCTTTGGGCCTGGCCTCTCCCAGTGGCCCTCAGAGCTGTTCCCTCCCCCCGCCCCTGCCCCTGCACTCCCAACCCCGGGAAGCAGGTTCACTGATCCCACTTGGAGGAATAGACGCAGACATGAGGGGGTGAAGGCGGGAGCTCCCCATGGGGTTGGCTGAAGGGAGAACTTCCCCTCTAAGCCCCTACTCATCCCCACAGGCGGGTGGGTTGGTGGGGGGGTCACATTGGGTGCTCGGGTATCTCTCCCCAGGTGGTACAGGCAGGGGCCTAGGTGTTGGGAGTGTCTCTTCTCCTCTCCCCTGGGGTAGCACAGGCAAGGGAACTGACAGCTGGGGGTCTTTCTCTCCTCTCCCCCTGTGTGGCACAAGAACTGACAGCTGGGGGGGTCTTTCTCCTCTTCCCCCCCCACCCCTCCCCTCTGGGTGGCACAAGCAGGGGAACTGACAGCTGGGGGGGTCTTTCTCTCCTCCCCTTCCCCCCCCCCCGGGTGGCACAGGACTGGGACTAATTCACCTCCTGCAGGTCACTGAATCGGCCTCTGGTCACGGCCAGCTCGCAGCTCCGCTCTCTCAGGAGCCGCTGCAGCCGGATCAGCTCCACATTCCCCCGGATGGCGGCTCTGCAAGGGGAGCAGTGGGTGGCTTGAGCTAGAGCAGCAATCCCTGCAGGGGACCCACATTCCAGCTGTCCTACGCCCCCAACCTGGGCCTGGCACAACCTCTCCCCCGACCATCTGGGCCTGGCACAGCCCCCCCTTCCTTACTCTCCCCTGTCCAGCCCCAAAGATAATCGGAGTCACTTCCTCTTCCCGCCAGGGCTATATAGGCCTAGACCCCCACTCTCCCCCAGGCCCAGCAGAGCCACCCCCTCGCCCAGGGGGCACCCGCAGGGGTGCCATACCGATGCTCCAGGGCCTGCTGGTGGTACTGCTGGGACGGGGCCCCATCGAGGTCCATCTCTCTCCCCCATGCCAGGCATTGTGACTCAGGCTCCAGCTCTGCCAACACCAGGCTGTGGGATCTGTGGGGAGCAGGGACCTGGGCTGACGCACTGACCCCTAAGGAAGTGTAGGGCAGGATCAGAGGACACAGGTGCTAGGGTGATACCACATTGACTACAAAGGGAGCAGGGGGCTGGAAGGCAAGTTTGGCAAGCAGACTGCAGGATTAGGAAGTTTGACAGAGCACGGAGAGGGCACTTGCAGCACCACTCTGGTCACTATTAGCACCAATTAGGTCTCCCCCTCAAGGCCTAACTGGTCAGGGCTGTGCCTGATTACTGGGCCAGCGGGGTTGGGAAGGTAATGAGCTCACTAGCCAATGGGCAAGTGGTTTGAAAAGAGCACAGGAAAGGCCTGCTGGATTCTGGAGTAGAAGTTGCTAAGCTGGGAGAGCCTGGCAAGAGGGAGCTCTCTGAGCACCCCACAATTCTCCTCCCACCTGCAATGCACCCCCTGGGATGAGGGGCCAGAAAGCTGGACAACAGTGCAGAGGTCTGGATCTAGTGGTGGAGGGATTGAGGAACTGTATTGCAAGTACATGCTGGTGTGCTCAAGTAAGAAAGTGTCAGAGCAGTCTGTAATGGTGGGGGTGTGGCACCCTGTCATAACTAGAAAGGGAAGGGTAACAGCCCTCCTGTATACAATACTATAAAATCCCTCCTGGCCAGAGGCACCAAAATCCTTTTACCTGTAAAGGGTTAAGAAGCTCAGGTAACCTGGCTGACACCTGACCCAAAGGACCAATAAGGGGACAAGATACTTTCAAATCTTGGGGGGAAGGCTTTTGTTTGTGTGCTCTTTGTTTTTGGGTGTGTTCGCTCTTGGGACTAAGAGGGACCGGACATCAATCCAGGTTCTCCAAATCTTTCTACACAAGTATCTCATATTTCAAACTTGTAAGTAACAACCACGCAAGATGTGTTAGTTTTATCTTTGTTTTCTCAACTTGTAAATGTTCCTTTTGCTAGAGGGTTTACCTCTGTTTGCTGTAACTTTGAACCTAAGGCTAGAGGGCTCTTTAAATCTGATTACCCTGTAAAGTTATTTTCCATCCTGATTTTACAGAGATAAATTTTACCTTTTCTTTTAATAAAATTCTTCTTTTAAGAACCTGATTAATTTTTTATTGTTTTAAGATCCAAGGGTTTGGATCTGTGTTCACCAGTACATGGTAGAGCTGAGGCTGCAGCTCAGTGGACCCTTAGCAGAGGTGGCGGCTGAAATGCCTAAGGAACACGGGAACAGTTATGAACTTTTTTAAAAACAAGGCCAGAATCAGAATGGGGCTAACACCCGAGCATGCCCATCGGCGGTTCAGAACCCAGGGAGGGAAGGTATCTGAGGGAGAGGACATGGGGCTGTGGACAATAGTGGAGTGGTGGAGGCACTCACAGTTGGGATTCAGGGGCTGCTACCCCTTCCATGGTGCTGGGTGGGGGAGGGACACATAGTCTCTCCATATCGGCTCGTACTCCCTCTGTGATGTGGTCTCTGTATCTTGGGGGAGCTGTGTGGGTAGGTCTGGCCTCTGGAATGCGCACCCGCATCCCTGCACAGGAGAAAAAGGTGGGATGAGGCCTTGCGTCTTCCTGATGCTAAACCTGTAGGGGCAAAGGATTCCTAGCGGACTGGGCTGAGGCCAGCAGACTCCCTTCACTTGAGAGCTGACTCCAATACACAAGCAGAGCTGGGAAAGGGCCTGCCCAGAGGCCAGGATGGGTCATCCCCTGGGCTCTTCACCAGAGCTTCTGCTGCCCCAGACCGGCTCTCAGGGAGGGGATCTCACAGACCCTGGGCTCCCACCCCTTTTCTTGGGGAGGCACTGCCCCAGGATCCAGGCCCTTCAACCCCTAGGAATAGTGCTTTCCCCCACTCCCTGTCCTGATCCATCCCCCTCACCTCTGTGATGTCTCTCAGTCACCCTCCCGCCTGAGGTGTGAACCTGCCGGAGTCCGGTGTCCACGCGGGGTTGGACGTAGCCGTAGGGCCAGTGGCGCCTGCACCCGTGGAGCTGCAGCTGCTGCTTGTAGGATAGCAGACGACTCCGCAGCCCCTCATTGCGCCGCTCCAGGTCCCAAACCCGTTCCTGCAGTTCCTCCAAGGACTCCTCCAGGTCCTGGCCTGACCACCTGGCCCTGGCACCCAGCTGACCCTCAACCTGTGCCCGCTCATGGGTACGTCTCAGCAGCTTAGTGCCCAGCCTGGGGAGGAAGCACAGGTAACGAACCTCCGTCTAATCCATCCCCGCACACACGCTGCCACAGCCCCTATCTTACCCACCCCCCGTGCGTCCCTCAGCCTGTGCCTGCTTGTGGTGGAGTCTCACACACACATCCCCCCGGGGAGTGGGGAGCACAGCCCCACTCACTCCCTGTGAATCTTCTAATCCCAGGCTCCCTTCCTGCATCACCACAGACACCTACACATGCTCCCTCTGCAAGCCCTGCATACCCTCCTCTGCCTCACCATGTCTCTGGGAGCCTAGGATCCTAACGGTGAGGGTGATGGGTTTCATGGGGCCCTGCTGGTACCTCTTGATCCTGTCCTCCTGCTTGCAGGCAAACTCCTTGAGCACCAGGTTCTCGTCATGTAGACGCAGAAACCCATCCTCCAGCTCTGCCCGGTTCATCTGGCTCACATGCTGCCATGTCCGTGCCACTGGCTCTGAAAGCCCAACATCAGGGAGTGAGGGGCAAGGGGCTTGCACAGATTCTACTCTACAGGGACTAGGGCTAGTGGCTAGGACCAAGGACTGCTGGGCTTTCTCCAGAGTTCTGGGAGGGGAGTGGGGTCTGAGCATAGCTGTGAGCTCAGAAACAAGCAGTTGTGAGGTTGGAATCAATGCAGAGGAGCACAGGACCAGCTGGGCCTCTGTGAGGAAAAGAAGGCAACCCAGCCCAAAATCCCCACCTCAGTTCATGAGTGGAAAGATCTGAAGGTGGTTCCCATGGCTGACAGAACTTAACCATCTACGGAGTCCGATAGTGGCATGCTTGCAGGAGCGCCTCAAGGGACAGGGCTTGGACACAAGTCAGTGAGAGCAAGCAAGACCTGGCCTGCCGAGGGGTAAAAGAAGAGAATGGGAAGCAGCAGCGGCTGCTGCGGGAGGAAGAGCTATAGCTAAATCTTCCTGCAGAGCCAGCCCATTAGAGAAAAGGACAAGAAGCTGGAGGGTATGGAGGCTGAGGTTGCAGTTTTAAAGAAAGAACTAAGCACTGGGCTCCTTGGGGAGAAAGAGGGCCTGTGCTGAGAGTCTGGCCATTACACACCGGAAGTGTGGGGCCCACATGGCTGCAGTCACAGGAGGAAGAGTTAGGAAGCTAGCAGACAGCACAATGTTAGGCCTTATAGCTGAGGTAAGGGCAGCTTTGACTCTAGACTAAAGATTGTCATTCAGGGAGCAGTGGGGGTAGGAGAGGAACTGAAGTGGGGTCTGTTATGGGCTGTGATGGAGGTTGTACAAAAGGGGATGTGAAACTGAGTGTTTGTGTCCATTTTGTGGTGTGGATCCCCAGCTCGGTATTTGTCTGTCTGAGCGGGCTGTGCTCCTCAAGACAAGGAGGCAGCGCTAGCCCTCACCCTCAACTGGTGAAGTTCTGGCTGGCGTTTTGCCGGCTGCAGAAGCAGGCAGGAGCTAGGATGGGGGTGGGTCCATATGTTTTTGTTGTAGGAAGGTGGGCACATTAAAAGGCACTTCCCCAGTAAGAACTCAGACTTCAGGGAAATGGACTGTATCCCTGAGAAAGACTGCCTCTCTGGACTGGGGGATACCTGTCTTCTGCAGAGAGCTGTGCTTGGGGAAAGTACCCTGTCTGTGCCCCATTGCCCCCTCTGAATGGGGTGGTGACATAGGGTGCTGGTGGGGGTACAGGCTCATCCTCTCTAGTGTGCCATGCTATCTACCTCAGCCTGTGTCAACCCTGAATCCCTTCACTGTTTGTGTGGGGTGGGCCCCTTTGCTCACCTCTCATCCGGGTCTTCAGCCCACGGGCCTTCGTGGGACGAGCAATGGCTGAGACATCTAGGAAGTCACCAGGAAAGCAGTTAGAGCATCACTCTGTCATGGGCAGCGGGGGTGCTGGGATGAGCCCAGGGACAGCAGTAAAAGTGAGGAGGATGGGGGTAGATGAGGGGGAATAGGAGAAGAGGAAGGGGGATCAGGGAGGGTTGAATGGGTGAGGGGGTGCAGAATGGATTGGGGGGTTAGATGGGTGAGGGAGGAGGCCTTGGAGGTCAAAGAAGGAGTCCCTGTGCCCCCCCCTTCCTTGGGATCCCTGCATTGTTGTTGTGATGTGGCCCTGACCTTGAATAGCTGTGATCACTGAGGGCTTCGGGCTGCTGTCTCTGACAGGCAGGTCTCCGGCTGTCTCATCCAGCAGGAGTAATGACATAGCAGCAGGCGAAGCACAGTCTGGAAGGCAGGGAGAGAGGCAGTTACAGGTGGCCCTCAGGGGTCCAGTCCCCAGTCATGTCCCACAGTGGGTGAACCCAGCCTGGAGGGGGCAGAGCTGCAGCTTGGACACTTGTGGGGAAAGACCACCAGGGCTTGGCTCTGCAGCTGCCTCATTAGCCTGGGGCAAATCATTCACATATCCATTGATATATGGGATACCAAGGTGGCTTCTTCCCTCCGCTGTGCTCCTGGGGGTGGGATGGGGGATCAGCTCAGCTCTGGGGTTGGACCTCCACTCCAGGTCCCACATCTGCGCTGTCTGCTCTGTCCCCAGGTGAGGCACCTGCCCCAGACACGAGGAGCAGCACTAATCCTGCATAAGGCTCTCCTTCTGGCCCCCCACTCCAGCTGGTGGGTCCTTCTCCCCCTCACTCACAACCCCCTCCCAGCCTGCTGACTGCTCTGTCCTGGAAAGAGCTGTCTTGGCAGCTGTGGAGGAGGATTTCCTTCCCAGCTAATCTGCTACCATCTGCCAGAAAGTAGTGCAAGCCCCCTAAAGATCCACAGCCCAGTCACGCCCATGTGAGGGCATGGGGGTATAATGGCAGGGATGTGGCACGAGGAATAGCACTGACATGAATCAGACTGAACATCCAGCTTCTGTGCAAGCTTCCTCCAGACATCACTGGGCTCCCTCCACCCCAGTTCTGCTGAAACCTCTCAGTCCAGACACAGAAGGCCACTGCTCTCCCAGCCCTGGACTCTCCATGCCCCACTGCTCTACCAGTGCCCCTCGCTCCCAACCCACAGGCCCCATGCTATTCCGGCCCAGGGCTCCCCTAACTCTGCTAAGGTCCCTCACTCCACACCTAGAGATTCGCTGCTCTCTCAGCCGAGGGCTCCGTATCCTGATCACAGCTCAGTCAATACTCCACTCCTGACCTGCAGCTCCCTGCTAACACAGCCCGGGGTTCCCTTAAGTTCTGCCAGTGCCCCTTGCTCATGACTTGTAGTCCCCATACTCTCCCCACCCTGGGCTGCACAGTCTGACCCCAGCTCTACCAATGTCCCTCACCACCAACCCACAGTTCTCCTCCTATCCCAGCCCTGGGCTCCCCTGTAGCTCTGCAGTGCCTCGCGGTCCCAACCTACAGTTTCCCTGCTGTCTCAGCCCTGCATTTTTACTCTGCTCCATCTCACCTTGCCTGTCACTGTCTCCTGTCCTGGTGCTCTGCCCAATGCCAGTGTGAGTCTGGAAGGAGAGCGTAAAGCTCTTGTAATCCTCTGCTGTGTAAGCTCATTAGGACAGGAGGAGGGAAGGCCAGGGGGGTCTTGACACCTTGTGCAGCATGAGGTTAAGCAGAGGAGCAAATTCCCCTCACCCCTGGGGCATTCCTTTCATGCAATTGGGATCACAGGAGAGCACTAGCTGGGGGGTGGGGGCGGAGAACAGCTCCAGGGATGGGCTCTCCAACTCAGTACCCATCTGGGACATTGCTAGAGGGAGCCTGTGAGTCTAGAGAGCAGAAGAGAGTGACAAGTGCTGAGGTCACCAGGGGACACCAGGAACTGGGGGTGGGAGATGACCCTGGGCAGGGAAGAGGGGGGACTGTGTCTGGGCTGGAGGTCTGTTGCAGGGACCCCAGTGTGTCTGTGCTGGGGCCTTGGTGCTTGAAGAAGGGCTTTGCTGATGTTGTTCCCTGATGCACCAGACAGCAGTGCCCAGCGGAGCCCGTACTGTGCTGATGCCTCATAG